AATGGGGACCAGATGGTCCCAGCCACCAGAGGGGAACTAAGACATGTCAAGGTAGGTTCTTCCAGCAGCCAGACCTAGGCTGGGGATACCTCCATATCCATATGGTACTGCTGGTTCCAGGCACTAGATGGCATCTAGAAAATTCCCAGGAAGGCTTTCCGAGCCCAGGGCTGTGGTGGGGTGGGGGGGTCCCTGAAGTGCGGGGACCCTATTTCCCTGGGGTCTGAGGGTAGCACTGAAGGACAGGAGGAAGTTTGAACAATATTAAGACCTAAAAAACAGCAGTTATTTCCAAACCCCTTGAGTGCTTTAGCTATAGGGTGAAGGGAAAAAGCTGTTTTAAGGTAAAAGCTAGCTGGAAAGTTCTAGTACTTACAATATCTAATTCTGTTTGTGGGTTTGATGATAAAAGGTGTTGTTGGTTTTTGGTTTTTTTTTTTTTTAAACCTTGGAATTTTGCAAGATGCTCAAAGAGGACTGATTTGCCTTCCAAGTGACCAGCTTAGCCCAGTTGGCTGTAAATGCTCTGGGAAGCTTTTACATACCTGAAAGTAAGCTTTCAGAATACCCTCTGAAAGCTGGTCTAAAGAGAACATCATAAATCTCCTTTACCTGGATGCTACCTCAAAAGAGATCTAGAGACATAGACGACAGCAGAGCTCTGTGCTGGAGAGAATCACACAAGTCCAGGTGGACCTCGTGGCTCTGTCACCTCGGGTAAGTAACTTCTGAGCCCCAATGTTGCACGTAAAATGGGGTAGTACCTACCTCCTAGGGCCGAGGTGAGGAGTACATGTACACATAGTATATGCACACAAAAATGTTCCTTCCTTATGAACCCCAAATGTAAAGGAGACATTTGAGCAGCCTCTCTAGAAAAGTAAAGATACACCAAAGTAGCTGTTGCTTTCAACTGTTTTATTGCTAAACTATCATGATACAAGCTGTATAAAAATATTTTACATATAGCAAAAATAAACTACATTAAATTGGAGATTAAAAATGTTTTGCATAGGAATGTGATGTATTCAAATGCCTTTAACAGTCAGGATTTTTCAAAGCCTTACAGCACCACCCTGTTGGAGAGACTTCTACTTCTTGGAGAATTGTATTAGGACACTGTCAACATTTTCTCCCCTCTGAGGGCTATAGAGGCAACAGGGGTGAGTGAGGTTCTTTGAGGTGCCCAGGATGCCAGCTAAGCTGTGGTCCCATTAACCACAGCCTTTGTCTGCTCAGGCCGCTCCCCTCTGAGGGCTATAGAGGCAACAGGGGTGAGTGAGGTTCTTTGAGGTGCCCAGGATGTTAGCTAAGCTGTGGTCCCATTAACCACAGCCTTTGTCTGCTCAGGCCAATCAGAATGCTTAAGCACCTGCTCTAGTGGAAGCGACATCATCTGTGTCCACTCCCTCCAAACCCTGAACTTGGAGGGAGTTTAGTCTGCCAACAACTGCATAAAGGCCGTGTTAACTCTTTCACTTCCAGCTCCAAGGACCCCAACTCATTTTCACTTGGGGGGCTTGCTCAGGGACCATCTCTCTCACCAATCAACAGAAAAGTTTGTTTTTAAACAAACTGAGTTAAGATGGTGATGTTGGCTATAACTCAAAATATTTGTGAAAGCTGAGGGAAATTGATGTTTGCGATCAGTTTTACGGGATGCTTTTTCTTTAGCATTTAGTTGGAATGTAGAACACTTGCTGTGTAATTGGCTGGTTTGCTTCCATGAAATTTAACGCCCAAGCCCTAAGCTTGGGAGACCCAAAGTTAAGATGCGGGGAGCCCTTGCTGAAGGGCTGTCCCTCCAGAAAATGAGTTCAGGAAAGGTTACCCCAGCTTGTCAAGAACGTCACAACCCCTGTCTGTGCCTCTTGTAAACACGAAATGAACACAGTTGTTAAGTGGACCCTGACATTCTTTCAATTCTTATCAATAGAAAGCACTTGAAAAGTTTTTTGGGTTTTTTTTTTTTTTTTGACATGAAATAAATTCAGCCTAACTTTATTCCACAGGGACAATTAGAACACATCAGCTTCTGATCCACCTAGATGTGACGCCACCTGCCCTAGCCCAAGGCTGGCTTGCTAAGATAGATGTCTTGGCTACTGGATGTAAACAAAAAATTCAATATCAGTGCTTCCTGGTTCTTAAAAGGAATCAACTCAATTCATCCTTGGCTATGTCTATGCAGGATCTAGATTAGGTTAGCTCTGTAAATATTAGCCCGCATGTAGGGTTCCATGAATATGAACTCTTTTCAAATCCCATTACAACACAGGCTGGGTTTTGTCATTGTTGTAACCAAAATTGCCTACTAGATCACTTGTTGTGGGGGAGGGGAGGGGATCTAGACACTTTACAGTACAGTTCTCCTCAGGCTCAGGGCTGAAGAGAGTCAACATTCTCAAGCAAGAAAAAGGTGGTTCCTTCTCCTACAAAGACATCCTCCCCCCTTTCTCCTGAGATGCTTGCTTCTTTTTTTGGTGGCTGGCCAGTACAGGGATCTGAACCCTTGACCTTGGTGTTATAACACCACGTTCTGACCAACTGAGCTAACCACCCAGCCCTGAGATGCTTTCTTCTAGATTTGTGACTGACCAGCTCTGTTTTGTTTTTTGTTTGTTTCCTGGAATGATTAACAAATTTTTCAAGAATACATCATTTCTCTTAAGGAAAAAAAAATATGTAAAAAGAGACACTTAAAAAGATTTCTGACCATTTATAAATATTTTCTAATTCCAACAGAGGTGCAATATTTTGAGGACAGATAATAAGCATAAAAATACAGATAAGAAAATAAATTTTAATAACATACTAATTTGGATTGCTATATATATTATCAAGCAGCAGTATTTTTGTACAATACAGGAAGACTTGCAAACTTTGGAAATATACATTTGGCAACATGGTAGATCTGTCAGAGGGCTACATATTTACAATAACTTGGATGTAGCAAGTGCAAACCTTGACTTAACTGAGATCCTTCTAACACACATGAAACACACCCACCGTGACCATTTAGACACCCTTCCTTTCTCATTCTCTTAGAGGATCTTATTGCCTCTTCCCATACTGAAAATATTTCATAAGTGAATACTCTTGGCAAAATTTCCTCCTGGCATTTGTAACTGACAACACTTTCTTGATAGCTATCGGTTCCTAATACACTTTCTCTTGCCTGTTTATGTCTCAAGTCTGATGCTTTTGTTTCTCTTTCCTTTGCTATTTGGTACAGTTTATGAAAGTGCTTCCTATAATATCCAGCTAAGATGTTTTAGAAAAAGGGGGTTTGTGTGTGTATTATACACACACACGTGCACGCATGCACACACACATACAGGTACATATATACGTACCTGCATATATGTATATTTAAGCTACCAGGAGGCTCTTTTCGCTAACATGGTTAGAAGATTGATGGAGTTAGTCCTTTTTCACCCCCTGGACAATGAAGCTGAGCTACTTTGCTATAATAGCAGGAAGGCACTTGGGAAAAACATTCAGATAACTGAGGAAAGGCCAAATTCCCTCATGTGCAAAAAATGGCTCCTGGCCAGGTCAAGTGAGAACAAATTGCTCACTTTCAACTCTTTCCCAGTGAAGTCAATATTGCTGGAGAGAAAATTCTTTAAGTAAAGCTGCTAGTGTAAGGAACTTGCTTTGTTAATAAGGAAGTATTTTAGCATCCCAGAAACTCTGCAATAGCGGTCAGCCTCTTACTGGCATTCTGTTTGTTTAAAAGAGAATTTTGCTAAACTCTGTGTTTGAGGTGGGTAGAGGATAGGCCTCCTGCTGTTTGGAGAAAATGAATGCTAGAAGTTACCCAAAGATTACATACAAGAGGGTGCAAAGGCCTGAACCTGGGCATTTTGTCTTCTGTCTGGAGTGCCACATTCACCTGGCCCAGCTCTCAGGAAGGTTTTACCTCTAGGTCACTTTGACAAGAAAGCCAGGAGTCAGAAGACTCCAAAGATTACATACAAGAGGGTGCAAAGGCCTGAACCTGGGCATTTTGTCTTCTGTCTGGAGTCCCACATTCACCTGGCCCAGCTCTCAGGAAGGTTTTACCTCTAGGTCACTTTGACAAGAAAGCCAGGAGTCAGAAGACTCACTGTGGGCATTTAACAGCTGTGACCTTCCTCTAAGGCCTTCTACCTATCAGACTGGACCAAGAAATCACCCTATGTATAGTCTTTTGAAGAATGCTAAGAATATTTTCACTTCATTGTTGGTTACTGGAGAAATAACCGAATGGCTGAAAATAAATCCCTAGCTTGTCCCGGGATGTCTGCAATAAATGCAAAAAGAAACTCATATGGGTGATAAAAACTCACCTGCCAAAACTCTGAGGCATCTGTTTGCAAAAATAACACCAATGGAGGAAGACTAGTTAGGAGTGTGGGTGTGCTCTGTGGAGACAGACAATTGGGGGGAATATTACATGTAACATACGACTGGTCTGAGCAGAGCTCATTCACACTAAGGGAGGCACTTGTGTGGAGCTGCTTCTATTAGTACGCGCCCACCAATGCAGAGAGGTCTTCGGGGCCAGCACTCTAGGGCTGAGGGGGGCTTAAACAGGTTCAGCTAAAAATAACCAATGAACTTTGGGGCCAAATCCTGAGCTTTACTATCCCACTTTGAGTTTGGGGCAGAGAAGGAATTCAGCCTTTATCTTGGTAGAAACCTACCTACAGAAGCACTTAGCCATTTTACTAACAAAAACACCTGCAATTTTTTTTTTTTTTTAATGGCGTTCTGCCATTGCTCTTCAAAATTCCACGCACATGCTTGAGATTCTTAACTACTTATGGGAAAGCGCTCGGGCAGTTAGGAGGAAAAGCAGTAGGGCTGCAGCAGATGGGTGCTCGCTCTCGGTGGCCCAGGTCACCTCCCCTGTCTATGGAAACTCAGCATCAGTGCCGCTGCCATTGCTCTTCAAAATTCCACGCACATGCTTGAGATTCTTAACTACTTATGGGAAAGCACTCGGGCAGTTAGGAGGAAAAGCAGTAGGGCTGCAGCAGATGGGTGCTCGCTCTCGGTGGCCCAGGTCACCTCCCCCGTCTATGGAAACTCAGCATCAGTGCCAACTGCCTGCCGCAGGGGTTAAAGAGCAGCTGGCCAAGAGGGCTTGACCTCTAGCCTTGGCCAGCTTTTTAAAGCAAAGAAAAAGTAAAAGAGCAAACATGTACACATGTCATAACACCGAGAAGTCTTAATAGGTGACTTTGTCTGGGCAAGACAGTGTTGTTTTGAAATGAGAAAATTCAGAAATAAAACTTTATCAGTGGCCCAGCTGCGGCATGGACTAGGTGAATGCTAAGGATGAGAAGTCCGTTTCTGTCTCTAGCAAGAGGGTTTTGGGTTTCTTCAGCCTGTAAGCTGGACTCCTGGGTCACGTTCCTCTGGCTGCTCTGAGAGCTCCTTTCATTCAACAGGTACAGGAGCTGTATCTGTGACCTGGAAAATGAATGCAGCACTAGGATTTAACCGCAGTGCCCACATCTTCTGGACCCACCCCAGCATGTCCCCCCAAGCTCCAGTCACTCCGTTCTCAGGTGAGTTCCAGCATCCTGTCTTGTTCAGAAGGTGGTTTTGGTCAGCAGGCACTTAATATTTTGATGGAACACCATTAAGATCAACTGGAATGCTCTTGGGGATTTAAAACACAAATCAAAAGGAAGAGTGTTCTCTTCTGGTGTTTACACAGAGAGGTGATGAGCTCCTGAATCAACAGTCAGCTTTGTGCCCAGACACTGCTCCACGGGTGGACTCTGGGCCAGGAGATGAACAGTTAAGGAGACAGAGGTGGGCCCAGCAGAGGGCTCCAAGGGGTCAGCTATGGAAGATGTCTTGCTATAATGGCTTCTTCTACGTCTGATTTCTGGCAGGAGGTCCGGAAAACTCCTTCCTGATAATTTCATTAACTACAAAAGAAAAGAGAAAGGGGGAGAGAGAATGGGGCGGGTGAGAGGGCACCGCAAACATGCATCACGTTAGCATTCTAGAGCCTCAGGCAGGCTACTTTTAAAAATACATTTTTGTTGCTTGTGATCATACATTTGACCATTTTTAACATTAGAAATGTCTTCCTATGTAGTGAGGTTTTTTTTTTTTTTTTTCTGGACAGTAATATTTTGTGCTGCAGATCCTGTTACGGAAAATTGCTCAAAGTGGTAACTTTTTCAAAATCTTTGTGGCAGAAATGGATTTGGGCCAAGGAGCATGCTTTAAGTAACTTTCTCTCCTGTATTTTATGTAGCGCACTTGAGGCTCTCTATTGTGTACTGAACTACTTCTATTATTATGATACCAGAAAGTATCTATTATGTAATTAAGTCTGATAAAACATAGTTCTTCCTTCTCAAAAGAGAGGCCTTTAAAAAGAGAGCAGGTGGAAACTAACTACTATCAATTTAAACATAATTTCTATTTCTTTCATCACAACTAGGAATTCTTTCTCCCGCTGGTGAGAAACCATGCTGTGGGTCTTCAGCAGTAGAAAGTGTCCTCAGAGGGACTCTGGAAAGTTCAATCACCAGCCCCCATGCTAGAAGTGTATGTGCAGGAAACCAAGAGTGCAGTGCCAGCCACTTGCATCAAGAAGCTAGCTCCCTTCTCCCATTTGTGTGACTTATCTAAGGTACTAGTTGGTGGAATCAGGGCAGTGAGATCTTAGAAGAGTGGACCTTGCAAAAAGACTTCCTTTGACCTTGGAAATAAGTTGATATCAGTGGCAGCCCACACGTGAGGCAAGGTGTACATCTTCTCTAAGGTATGTGTAAACCTTATGTTTTCCAGTTAGATTGTGTTGACTGGTCCTGGGGTGGAAGAGAAGAGGGGGTAGATCCCACTGGGGGTCCCATCAAAGGCAGGCTAATCTCCCCTTTCCTAGTTCTGATACTGAATTCTTCCCACAACCTCCTCAGACTTGGTTTTTTCATCTTAGCCTTATCCTGAAGTTATAGAGATGGAAAATTGGCAATGATGGCTAAATGTTAAGGCAGTTGCCCAAAGTCTCTCCACGTTCATGCCGGACCTTCTTAGATCTAGGGTGCTTTTCTCTGAAAATCCCCTGTGTGGATGAGTCTGTGACCTCCATGATAACAGGGGCAGGGAATACAAACAGCTGTAAAGAGCTGAATAAGCCAGGTTTGACTCTCAGCCCCCTCGGTGACTGGCTGTGTGACTTCACCTCTCTGTGCCTCAGTTTCCTCTTCTGTAAAGTGGGAATCATAATAGTGCATACCTTTGAGGGCTGTTGTAAGGCTGCTAAGCATTAATGCACATCACGGCACCTAGCACAGTACCTGGTGAACGGTGTGCCTGGTGAATGGTGTGCAGTAGCTGTTAGCTGTGATGGTTAGTAACCCTCTCAATGCTTCAGGTCAGACTCCAAATTCACTGCTTTCCAGCAATAGGCTTTGTTTTGTGCCAGAAAGTCAGGAACAGCTCACTGTGCTTCAGATGCATGCTAAAAGCATGTGCAAGGGGAGGTGGAGAGTTCACGTTCTAGAACCAGACAGTCAGGGTCAAGGTCCCACCTCTGCTGCTTCCTTGCTGGGTGAGCCTTGCCTCAGTGACATAACCGTTCTGTGCCTCAGTTTTCCCATCTGTAGATTGTGTCTAAAAATATTACCTAGCAGGTGCTGGTTTTTAGAATAGTATATATGTATTAGGTATATATGTGTGAATTAGGGTACATGTATGTTAATGGATGAGAATGTATGAATGAAAATAACAAACATTTCCAAAGTGTGGAAATAGATTCATTAAGAGGAACTTGGGATGAATTCATATTTCATATCCATATTCAGCTAACCACCACTAATTAGGCACTAACTGTATCCCAGTACCAGCTGACTCCCGGAGTCCTTAAATCAGAAACTGAATGCAGCATGTCAGCCCTCAGCTCCCACCCCTCCATGAACCCTGCCAGGGCCTGATACACTGATGGCAGATGTAGTGAGAGCAGAATGCCAGGGGGAGGTGGGGTCCGGGCAGCCTCATGCCAAGCTTTTCAAAGCCCGGATTCTGAAGGGCTTCCTGTTTTCTCAACCTAGGAAACGAGAGGAGTCGATCCTTCATGGAAACTTTCCACAGCCTCAGCTTTCTAAAAATAGCTGGGAGGCAGAGATGTTGGCACCACGGCCCTCTACAAAGGGTCGTTTCCTTCTCAGAACACAGGAGCTGGAGCTGGGGCTGGGGCCGGGTTAGGGGAAGGGAGGTTGAGAAACTTTTCAAGCAAGCAGAGTGGTTCTTTCTTCCCTTTGGATGAAAATGCTCCTGTTTTCTGAAAGCTAACTTCAGAAAAATTCAGTGAATTCCATGCATTTAGACCTTTTCGCTGTTGGGGGTGGCGAGGTGGTCCTGAAGTTCAAACCCCACTGAAACCTCTCTGGGGTGGGAACTTTCTCCTCCTGAAACCTCAGAGCTTGGTCCCCTGGATGTGAACATGGAGAAAGTTCTAGAACAAATGCTTATTGGGTGGTGGCAACTGAGTAGAGCCGTGTCAGGCTGAAAACTTGGGGTGCAGGGAGGGTCTCTGCTCAACCATTTCATCCAGATTCACTGTCCTGCCTGCAGGGAGGCCCCACGTTTGCAGACTTGAGTGCTGGGGTGGAGGGGACCTCGCTGTCCTTTGACTCCATTCCATGATGCCCACGGTGATATTTCTCCCTTTATCTTTCCCACTTTACGGGAAAGAGGTCCCCCACTCAGCCCTGTCACCTCCTACATCTTTGTCTCACCTTCCTCACTCTGCCCCTCTCTGTGCTTATGGTCTCCCTTGTCCAAAAGTCCTGCTCTGGGCCATCCTCCACCTGCTTCCCCCTTAGAGGCCCTGCACTCCGGTCCCTGCCCCTGCAGTGACCTCGCCTCCTGCTGCCTGTCCCCCTCCCCCCTGCACTGAACTCCAACCACACAGGCTTCCTTCCGTTCTGCCCAACTCACCCCAGCCTTAGCGCCTGTGCCCTTGCTGCCCTGCCCCCAGGCCAGATCACACTTCCGCCTTCTGATGCCTTTCCTCCTTGCTCCCACTACTCAGGACTCAGACACAGTCTCCTCTGCAAAGCCTCGCTTAGTGGGGATCTGCAGGGGTCACCCCGAGTCCAGCAGTGCTTGGTTCCCCCCTTTCCTTCATTGATCGGTCCCTGGCAATTCACTTTCTATTGCTCTGTTTATGCCCTGACTCCCCACCCCATCCCATCCCTAGCCCTTAGCAGGGCCTTGGTACATAAGACATCCTCAATCACATTGATTAATGAATGAGAACACAGAAGCTTAGAAAGGGGCAAAGAAACTTTAGGTCACTGTCAGGGCTGGGATTGGCCCCAAGTCTGACTTGAGCCACTGCGCTACACCACTGCCATCAGCATTTTTTCATCCAACAAATGTTTGCAGCATCTATGCTATGCCAGCAGCTATACCTCTTCCCAAACTGGGCTGCATACTGCTCCCCAAATAGCCCCATTCCATGTTCAAATCATAACTTCCCTTCCTGTCCCTGCTCCAACATCACTCCTTCCTGGAAGCTGCCTCACATTCCTGCCACAGTGCCCTCGTTCCCTCCAGAAGCAAGTACTGAATTCTCAAGTATCCCCCCTGCACCATGCACATAGCAGGTGCTTAATGCATGCATCTTAGCCCACCTCAAGGACCCTGCACCATCAGCCTAGGTCACTTGGTTTAGGGAAGCTAATTTTCCTCTGTCATCCAATTGACATGTGGGTTGCTGGTCTGTTACTTAGCCAGAGCCTTTTTCTCTACAGAATGATATGAGCCGTTCACATTTAGTGAGGGCCATGTGTTGGGCCCTGTACAGTGCCAGGGGCTGCTATTTAATTCTCACACCAACACTAGCAATATAATCATTATCCTCATTTTATAGATGGGGAGACAGACAAGCAGTCACTTGCCATAGCAGGTGAAGGGGGACTGGAATTTGAACTCAGGGCCCATTTTACTAACCCGTATACTACATGGCCTACACGAGTGGTAAGAGACTTTGCAATGAAGTTCAGTATTTGTCACCTTTCTTCTGAGGTCCCCAGAATCCTCCATGTCTTTTGCTTGAGGTCAGAGAAAGGCAGGGGAAGCCTCTGCTTAGTTAACAGCAGAGAAAAGGGTCACGTGGCCAGTGGTTAAGGCAGGCTCCTGCCTGAGAAAGCATCACTTTCTCAGAACAGAATCAAGGCTGGTGGTGGTCAGCGCACCACAGCATTCTTGACTTTTTATCATCCTGAGAGACCTGTGCCAGGATGAAAAGACTGACGGCAAATGTGTCCATAACCTCGGGGTGATTTCTAAGCCTGTCACCAAGGCTGAAACCAGAAAATGTGCAGAGATCTTAAATACACCTGTATAAAAATTATACACTTTTCAAAACTCTGAAACAGAAATATATATTTTCAGCATATATGACAAGATCACTTATATATAAAGAGGTATTATAACTCAATAAGAAGAATATAGATATTCTAATGAAAATGGCTGCAGGCATAAAAAGAGGAGTATATACCAAAACTCAAAAAACTCTTTCTGTAAAGAGCCCCATAAT